TGGCAAAAAAAAATAAACATACTCCAGGAAAATGGTATGCTTTGGTAAAGAGTGAATTATTATTTTTTCGAATTAAAAAATAACTAGATTAATATAACTAGATAATACTTACTATTGACATGGCTACTAAAATAGCTTCTCCAAAGACCCAAAAACCTAAAGTTAATAACTTTGTATTGGTCTTAGAGCAGTTTCTAGAAAAGCATAATCTGACGGCTGACTCTACCCCAGAACAATTAAACGAACATGCTCCCAAACTCGATGTATTACTTCCTGATTGGATGGCTCGCAGGTGTGTTAAAGTTGCTCTTGCCAAAGGTACTGATAACAGACGCTTATTTAGTGAAGAGTGGATAGAGGCTCTCTTACCAAATAAGAGAAAAGAAAAACTCATCATAGAGGAAAGGGCAAAATATTGCGCTAAAATTGGCGATGCTATGGACATTTTCACCCATCATTTAGATTTAAACCCAAAAAATGATTATGAAAATAAAATAGTCGCCAGTGGTTCATGCTAGTCGCAATTTCGTGTGAAATTAGCAGAAGGCGGGTAAGTCCTGAAATTATTAATATCTATGCCAAAGATCCAAAACTTATTCAAGAGTTTAATAAAATTCAGAAAAACAAACTAAAAAAATGAATGACTAATCTGGATAGAATTCCAATATACTTCTCGTTAGCAAGAGTGCTTAAAAGGATTCAGAATATGGATGTTTCTAAAATTCTATTTAAAGAAGATCTCACGAATATAATTGTGATGTTGAGTATGAGGCCTGCAGAAGTAAGGTTCTTCGAATTAATCACTATGAACCGGATCCTTCAAACATTCTAGCATGGTACAAAGATGGCTATTCTTGATATTGCACGGGTTATTTAAAAAGTAGAGAAGAGAAGAAAAAAAATTCTAAGCCTGACCATTTCTTTCCATGGAGAAGAGCCCAGAACGCATCAGAAAATTACTCACCTGGATCCAAAATGCAATCAAGACAAAAAAGTTGCGTGATCCTGTCTTTACAAAAAATAAAATGCATAATGTCTGGCCATTTAACGAATTCTTAAAACAAAAACCTTATAGAACTATACCTAAAAAATTATGAGATTATGGAAGTAAACACGCTTCTAGAATCCATAGTAGTAAGAAACCAACACTCCAACATCTTAAACTGCTTTCGAAAATCGCAATGAGGTAAGAATCAGACCATCTTGATACAGGTGATAATTACACTATAGGCGATACAGAATCAGGAAAGTCTAACTCTGAACCAGAGACAAGCGACAGTTCAAAACCTCAAATACAGGCTTCTTCGTCATTTCAAACAATAGAAATGGATTCAATGTTAGCTGAAATTGATGCAATGTTAGCTGAAATTCAGAAATAAATATCAGAAGGAGGGTCAGGTAGTGAGCACTTGTTTAGAGAATTTTCGCTGGGCCCTCATGAACATGAGACTTAAATTGTCCACCGTTTTCCTAATTCTATTCTGAGATCACAATTGAGAGATATATTTTTATATTACTATTTTTTTTTTCTTATAAATTGGCAGTGTCAAAGTGAAATAAAAATCTCACTTTCTCATAATTAAATCACTCAAATCCAGATATATTGGTAATCTGGATATATCGGTAACCCAGATAGATCTTTTTCGAGCTTGTGAAGCCTTAGTCAATAAATCCATGCATTAAACATGTCCAATATTCAAGAATAGGAAAAAAATAGTTATGCCCGATATATGTTGACCAAATATGGTTTAAACTATATCAATAATCTAAAAACACCAGAAGCTTGATTACAATTTCGCATTGTTTATTAAATCAAACCCGAGTTTATCATATTCGAAAAGATTTAAACCTTTCACAGGATGAGCTAGAGCATCCAATAATGCATTGTGTTCTAATACTCCAAATGAATT